ACAACAGCTCAAACTTCTCCCGGTACTCCATAACTGTCCCTTCCTAAGTGAGGACATAGAACTGCTCGTGGATGTCTTCTTTTCGGATGGCTTGGAAACGTTCCAACAAGCACTCCTTAAATTCTCCACATAAGTAGATCAGATACCTAGCCTCATGGGGAGATCGAATACCTAGCCTCCCTCCATTGGAATCAGGCTAGGGCTTTCCCTTCCAAACATAGACCCGCGCCATGAGTTTTTCCCCTTCAATCAACCCGTTGATAGAAAAGCAATGCTCTACGCGATACACCCAACCTAAGTGTCTTCTTCTTCAAAGATCGGCATTTTCAACTTTCTTGATTTGGTATCCATACCCCAATTGTTTCTTCCTCCGTTATTTCCTTTTGTGAAGTGATGGTACGATTCTCTCCCTTTCTCCCTTGGTTGATTTGGACCACATGGTTCGACCCCACCATGGACTGACCCACTGTCCCTCCTTCCTGGGTGGTCTCCAACCCGTTTCAACCTGTCCTCTCATTGTTGTCCCTTCTTTAGGATACCTTGGTGCACCTCCCCTCAGAGCCCGTCGGATGTTTCTTGAGGAAAAATTATCTCTATTTCATCATTGTCCTCTTGGACTCTCTTTCCCTTCAGACCAACCAGACTAGCCGATGAAGCCTTCGACTGCAACTTGATTAATTTCCTCATCAGACCAAAAAAGACTTGGTTATAAAATATTAGAAATGATATTTCTTTATTAGATTTAAACGAGAATTTGACTTTTAACAGGACACAATGGAGAAAAAAGATTCATGTAGCCGACCCCACGTAGTGGGACAAAGGTTTGATATTTTTGTTGTTGTTGTTGTTGCATGCCTTCCATGTTCTCGAATCTGTTTTCCATGGATGAATACCGTCCTTCCACCATCGTGAACCATCCTTTTATTGTTGTGAACCTTCTTTCCATCACTGTGAACTTCCCCTCAATACCGGAATATTGTTCCTCCATTCTGGCCTTGAATCGTTCCCACTCTCCTTCCAACGCCTTCATCTTCTTTGCTGCCAGTTAACGGATCTTGCTTTAAATCCTCCCAAAAAAAAAAGCGATAACGATTCAAACAATGAAATTAACAAGGGAAGGAAATCTGCCGTCGAAAACAGCAAAAACAGCGAGAAGAAAACTGGTTTTGGTCTAGAACATTGTTCTGATACCAATTTCACACGCCTTAAGGTGAAAACAACGAGAGAATACAACAAGAACAACAATAAGTTGAGAAAACAAAGGATGAGTTTTGTATTAATGCTCCATTACAAAAGTAAGATACAATGATCTATACATAAGAGAGGTAGATCGTCTTTCCCGCTAAACCTAGACGCCGCTAGGAAGCCCTCACCGAAGAAAACTACAACAAACACAACTCAAATTCAGCATAAAATGAAATAACTCTAAACTTCCCCTTAAATAAGCTCCCCAACCTCCTTATCCCCCTTTCCTAATATATTTTTGCTCCTAATTGAGCCTTCCTGCCTTAATTAATATACTCTCTTATTTGAATTTAAATTAGGAAATTTCTTTCCTAATTAATCCCCTATTAACATAAGTAATTAGATCCTTGTTGGACCTCACCAAATCAACCGCTGGGGCTATTGCCTCTGCCTCCATATCATTGTCATTTACGTCAGTCAGTTTGTCAGAATCGCGAGGCCTCACGATTTGAGGCTCTGTATCTCACGTTGCATCTTCATGGAGAACTTGTGAAACTCAAGGGAAAGTTTGCCCATTCGTTGAGCAAGGCCAGATTGCGCCGCTCATAGTGACTCCAAGCTGTGATTGACGCAAAGAGCTGGACGTTTGCTACCTTCAGCCATGATGTTCTCATCTGTTTGGCTCTGATACCAATATAGCATAGAAGCTCCATGCTTAAGCAACAGAAAATCAAATAGGATAAAATAGCCAATGAACTTCAGTATTCAGTATTAAAATCATTATAATCCTTTCAAATGGAGCTTTCAACCTATATATCCCTCTGGCAATTACATGTAATTCTTCCTATCCCAAATAGACCAATCTATCATGAAAACAGAAATTATTCTCTATAACAGAGAAAGGAAAGTTTGCCAAAAATAGAGTAGAACTATAATTTGTAACTTAAAAGGGTATAACAACGGTAGAGTATTTTGGAGCTGATAAATAGTATGGCGCACCGCATCAAATATGACTTCTTTGAGTATTATAAATGGTTTGTTGGCTAAATATTATTTGTCCTTTGATTGTTTTGTTATTATTATTTGTCCCACTAAAGGTTTTAAGCAAAAATTATAGATCAATTAAGCTACAGTTCACCAAAAACATTGCATTAGACTTTATACTAGTTTCTAATGTGGAGTATTACATTATATCATTCTAACCGAACATTTATGTCTCTAAAGAAAAAGTCACGTCATCTATATTAAGCCTACTATGTATGCATCAACAAAGTAATTATATATGGTTGATGTTGATCCAGTTAAAAAAATGATAGTTCATGAATTTTCATTAGAGGATGTTTTAGATGTTGAAAATGATTTACATTTATAAAATGAATCTAAATTTAATATTTTGAATTTGAGTTTGCACAAATATTAGAGCAGGCTGGTGGACTTAAACTTATTTTTAATCAAGTCACAATAAAACTGAATTGAGCTTAAAAATTTATCTAAACCTAAATGTCTAATGGAGTTTGACTTCTTTCTGTATTCAATATGTTGGAGAGTCTAGACTAGGGGTACTTTGGCGTGCAGTTCATCTAACAATCTCAAAGTTTGATAGTCTTTAGGGGTGTCAAAATGGGTTGATTGGTGAAGTTTGGGTCCAACCCAAAAGTGACCTGATCCGAATCCAATCAACTCTCAACCTCTTTAGTAAAAGGGTCAAAAATACCAATTCGAACTCGACTCACTAGCTACCCAAATGACTCGAATACAACTCATTAACCCATTTTCTTAAATTTTTTTATTACTTATTAGCTATAAAGTTTATATCTTAGGTCTATTGTTCAGAGTGATGGTCAAATAGATGGGGGTATTATTAGTAGCAAGGTTGTGAAAATAAGTCCGGACAACGAATTGAAAGGAGGGGTTCATGGTTCAATCGGTTGAATCGGGGTCAAACCGGATGACGTAATAAATAATAAAATTATGAAAAAATTTATAAAATTAACATAATAACTTAGGAAGAAGAAACTTCGTATTGAGTATCTTTAAAGTTTTTGGTCCTGTTGTGCCCACTTATAACTTTTAAATACACTCACAGTTAAACTAACAAGTCATAAACCCTACATGAAGCTGAACAAGAAGAGCTTAGATCTTCTCTAAGAATAACGAAAACTAATACACCATAGAGAAAGTAGGGAACAAGCTTCAATGCTAATCTTCTTTAAGATTTTAACAGTAAATACTAAATAATACATCATAGCGAGTACAAAACAAGCATCCACCCTGATCGTTCTTAAGGGCATTAAGAAAGTAAAAGAATTATTAAATCCTTGGCAGAAATCCTTCACAAACATTTTAAAATATAACCAAACAAAACTTAGAAAAATTATGTTAAAAAAACTTACATCTTACGACTTGAAGCAAATAGGAGAAGGAAGTGATGCGGAAGAGGAATAATGACTTCGTTGTTGTAACTCGTCAAGTCCAATTTGCAAATGAAGAGCGAAGTCGAGCATACGAGAACAAGAATGAAACGTCGCCTATTCATGGGAATGAAGAGCAGCGAACGAAATAGGTATAGGAATATTATGTTTTTACTTCTTAATTTTTTGTCAAACACCACTCGATCTCATTCCTACGGCTAATATCACGTTTTAATCGAATCAAATGGTTTTTTAAAACCGGCGATCGGTTCACCCAGTTTTCTGCTATCCTGTTTCAAGAATTAATCAAAGTTGGCCGGTTCAACCGGTTGAACCGGCAGGTCCGGTCAGGTTTTAAAAACCTTAATTAGTATAATTCAAGTTGAATGATTGAAATGGAGGAATGCATCAAGCTTGTTGTCTAATTGAAAATCCCTCCTCAAACTTAAGGGAAATTTCTATAGGATGGTGGTGAGACCTACAACGCTTTATGGTGCAAAATGTTGGCCATTAAAAGAGAAACATAATATTAAGTTAATTGTTGCAGAGATGAGGATGCTCAAGTGGATGAGTGGCTTTACTCTTAGAGATATGATATGAAACGAGCATAAACGTGAAAAAGTTGGAGTAGCTCCAATGGAAGATGAGATTAGAGAGAGTCGCCTTAGATGATTTGGTCAAATAAAGGGGCAGCCTTCCGATGATCTGGTTAGGAGAGTGAATCTATTAGATTTGACTTATGTTATAAGTTAGATGAAGACCTAAAAATACTTGGTGAGAAAATATTATAAAGGACATTTATTTAATAGATTTAAATGAAAATTTGACTCTTAATAGGACACAATGGAGAAAAAAGATTCATGTAGTCGATCCCACAGTGGGACTTGATGTTGTTGTCGTTGTATTAACTATGAAGTTTAGAATATTTGATGAAATTAAGAAGATTATACTTACAAGTACAAGAAATAAAAGAAAAAAATTATTAAACGTGTTATTTTCGGATAAAAAATGAATTCGCGGGTCGACCTGAACCCGACACATTATTAAACAGGTCGGAAAATCCAACTTGTAGTCCCGAACCTGACCAAACATGAATTTTTTGGGTCAGGTTTGAGTAGGATAATTTTTTGACATCCATAAGTATCCTCCAGTCATCATCTTTTTAGATTTTCTTCCTTTGATATTTCTTATCAGCATTGCATATTAGCGTGTGTTTACAAACAATTCTCATCAACCTGGAACTCTTGTGTCACATGGACTTGGCCCGTATGATATATTGAACGTTCGGGGGCCGAATATAGACTGAAGAATAGACTTGTTTAATGTATTGCTCCCTGGATTTGATTTGATTTTTATTTTTTTACTTGGCTGTTAAAAGCTGATACATGCTCTAAAATATAATAGTTTTGCACATGCATCGGAATCTGCTCGGATGGACTGGTCCTCCTTTACCAAGGGCTATTTTCAGAATCGAGACACTTTGGTCGCTGTCTTGCTGCTTGTTGATGCCAGTATTCCACCCCAACAAATTGACCTAGATTGTGCCAACTGGCTGGGTCGCAATAACGTAACACTTTTAAGCCTTCCTCTATTGCTCTCTTTCTGTTTTTTTTTTTATTTTTTGGTGGTAAGCGAATGTTCAATTTCTATTAATTTCAGATTGGGATGACCTTTGTTTTCACGAAATGTGACAAAACTAAGGGTGGTAAGGGAAGTCATCCTGCTGATAACATAAAGCAGTTTCAAGAACTCATCAAAACATGTTATCGTGAGCCTCCTCCATGGATCATGACAAGTAGTGTTACTGGCTTAGGTCGTGATGAGCTGCTGCTCCACATGTCCCAGTTGAGAAATTTCTGGGGTAATAATGAGGAGTAATTTGTGTAGGCTTGGAACTCTCTTACCAAACCAGTTAGTTGTCTTCTTCAGTAGGTAGCTTCTCTGTATATTTTAGATTTGATATCTTATGTGATAATAAGGGAATTATTTCAGTGTACAAGCAAAAGCCACAGGCAGGAATCTGAAAATGGAGCGTTCCAGATTTATTTAGTTTCAACTAGTGTTGTGTTGTGACTTGTGTGTGAGTTTATTTTTAATTGACTAAAAAAATCTCATTAAAAAAAAAAAAACATATATAAAATTAATGATACTTTGAATACAATGATAGAGATTGATCAAATCAATATTTTATTATTTCAAGAAATAATAATTTCCTCCCATGCTCTATAAGTCTGAATTAAATATTCGCAAACCATCAAACCAGTTTTAAGATTAAAAATGTGAGTCTTGTTGTGTAAAAGAAACTTTATGGTGGTGGAAATTTGGGGTCTAATTAATTTGTATGAAGATGGAGAGACAAAAGTTGTGTAAATACATAGAACAAATAAAATGTTTTAACATGAAAGTAAAATAAAATAAATGCTTGATAGGATTTAACTCAATTAAAATAGATTTTCTAGCTTTTATTTAAGATTAAAAATAGTTTTCCTTACCTACCATAAAAGATTATGAGAATATACTGTAAATATTTAGTAGGAGAGCATCTCTGTTGATGATGTATTTGAGTGTCGGTGAAGTTGAAGAAGAGAGATAACTAGCGTTTGGTGTAGACACCGATGGGTATTGTTGGATTAGAAAGTTTAGTGTTGTTGGTCGAAACATGTTTGATGGGTGATGGAGAAGTCAGAAGTGATGGCTAGTTTTAGGAGTTCGTTTAGGTGATGTTAGTCGATTGCATACGTCTCATGACATTGCCTAACAAAAGGAAATAGCTTGTTTAGAAGCAATTAAAACTAAAACATTATCTATACTTCTTGAAAAGATAAGGACATGGAGGTTGAGAATTATTCTAAGATATTCATGGTCCATATCAACGATGGATCCAACAAATCATACTCTTAGCTGATTGTGAAATAGCTAGTTTGTCCTCCATGATCAAATCATGGTTGGGGTGTGTGATGTCTCAAAATTTAATTTGGAAGAATAATTCTTTTATCTCTTAATAAATAATAATTAGAGCTATCTAATTTTATCTATCAATATGAATATCAGCGAAAGTACTACTATTGACCAGAACATCAATATACATATGTATTCATTCTCTAAAAAATTATATACACTACTCAAGATCTATACTATTATATCTTAACTACTATGACATGAGCACATTAGAATAATTAAAATAATAAGAGCCTAAACTTGAAGGATTTTGATCAATCAGTACAGGAAAATCACCAATTACCGGTGGTAATCTGGCGGTCAAAGAACCGCCGGAATTACCGATGGTTAAACCGGCGGTTTACCCAACGATTTTTAATAATAAACTGTCAGAAATGTTGGTTGTAAAATAACCACCGGATAGGCCATCGATTTTGTGTTTTTGCGTCGCATTTACCAGTGGCTTGGACGCCGGTGTTAAGTGTTTTTTTCCCTGCGGTTCAAACCGTTGGATAAACATCAGAAATTGACCTAAATTTGGCAAAACTGGCATTTCATCCTCAGTGTTCGTGTATTTTTTTTCCTCTAGATGCCGCTCGTGCTCGCCTCCGACTGTATCCGTAGGACTCCGTAGCCGACATCGTAACTCCGACCGCCGATCATGCCTGCACTCTACCCACCGACACCCTCAGTCCGGCTTGCGAACGCCCCGAAAGTTCTCCTTGCATTTACTTTTTTTATTTCTTTAGTCATGGATGGTTATTTAGAGAAAATAATGAGGACCTACATATGATATTTATTGATTAGAGATAGCATATGATAAAGTTCCAAGAGTAGTGCTATGGAGAGTTTTAGAAAAGAAAATTTTAGTAATGCTTATATTCAAGCTATTAATTGTGTTCAAACACTAGATAATTTGATAAGTATTTTCATATTTTAGTTTGATTACATCAAGGATCAACCTTAAGCCTATATCTTTTTATATCATACAGAGAATAATGAGGGCATACATATGATATTTATTGATTTAGAGAAAGCATATGATAATGTTCCAAGAGAAGTGCTATGGAGAGTTCTAGAAAAGAAAGGGGTTAATAATGCTTATATTCAAATCATTAAGAATATGTATGCAAAAGTTGTTACTTGTGTTCAAACAAAAGATGGTTTGACCAAGTATTTTCCTATTTCAAATGGATTACATCAAGGATCACCCTTAAACTCATATCTTGTTTCTTCAATCATGGATGTTCTTACTAGAAATTTGCTAGACGTTGTACCTTGGTGTAAGCTTTTTTGCTGATGATATTCTTCTTGTTGATAAGACCACAGAGGGAGTTCAAGGTAAACTTGAATTGTAGTGGTCACCCTTAGAGTGTAAAGATTTCTGTTTGAGTATATTTATAACTGAATATATGGAGTGTAATTTTAATAGTAATAGATCTATTGGGCGGATTGTGGGTTTCGGCAATTAAGTCATTAATAAGAGTATACATTTTAGATATTTTGGGTATATTGTTCAGAGTGATGGTGGTGAAATAGATGTGAATATTATTAGTAGAATTCTAGTTGGATGGTTGATCTAGTGGAATGCATCGGGCTTGTTGTGTGATAGAAAAGTCCTCCTCAAACTTAAGGTAAAACTCTATAAAATGGCGGTTAGACCTGCAATACTTTATGGCACAAAATGTTGGTCATTAAAAGAGAAGCATAATATTAAGTTAAAATAAACATATAAAACAGTTGCCTTTTGATAACCCGGATAGGATAGTAAATGACATCAGTAAAGACTATCAAAAGTATATCAATGCAGTAAAATTAACTAGGAGTGTACACATACTATCCATGTATTCTATATCAGCATTAAATCAGTATATTACATGCTTAAAATGTCACATGCTTAATATCAATACAGTGAATCGGTACGTAGCATAAACAATATCAGTATCTATATCAATAAAAGTAAAAAAAATATAAGTGTAATTAAAACACTATAATATCTATGACATGAAAAAGGCGATTTGTAAGTTGGACTTATAATGAATCCTGAAAAAAAAATTAACTTGATTAAAATATGGGCTATTACAGAGTGGACTTCTACTAGTGGCAGGAGGTAGTAGTCTAACATGGAAGATACCTCATTTAAGCCCTTAATATCAAAATGGCAACTGTATCTATATATAAAAAATTTATTTGTAGATGCACAAAAACCTCCTCACAAAATGGCAACTAAGTCTATATATCAAATTTTAACTCTAGTTTTCCAAAGGATTTTCAATGTTGCTTAAGTTAAGGTTATGTTGGGCAAACTGTCTCATCTTTTCATATGTTTGATTTATGTTATAGTCATGAATATATATTTAAGACTCTTTTATGTAGGACCTTTGATTTAATTTTCACTTGAGAAAATTAGTAGGTCCTCAATTGAAGTTTGATTTCATATAATTTACCTCAAGTTAAGTAATTTTCATTTATTAAAGAATAAATGTACCTTTCGTTCTTAGGGGCATTATTCTTGTTACTTGTATTGGGTTTCTATAAATTGCCAGTTATGCTTTCATTGCTTATTATGAACTTTCGAAAGGACACCGCCGGTAGCAGAGTGTAGTGGGTATACGACCGCACCACCCCTAGGGATAGAGACGCTCGCAGGCCTCTACGCTCTTCGCAAATGGGCCAATGGAAGGGCAAATTAGATCGCACATACGACTAACTATTGAGGATAGCGGCTCTCGCAAGCGCACCCCGATGGGTAGTAATATATACGACCTGATCCCCACCCTATATATCTGCTCGAGTGTGATTTATTTGATGGTGGAATTTCATTTTTCATGGGCGCAAGCTCCCGTGGTTAATTACATATCGAGCATCGGGCCCGAGAAAACTCTTGATTAAGGATCCTATATTATTCTTCCCGAATAAGGGGATTGGCTCACAAAGGGAGACTAGAAAGTTCCTACTCAAAGGGGAAAGAAAGGATCGATTCAAATGGCTTAATCGACATGCACGATTCATCTCAGCATCTAGAGGGGCTAAGGTAGTAAAGAGGGGAGGAAAATCAATCACTCAAAGCATACAGAGAGAGAGGTTAGAAGTGGCTTCATCTATGTGATGCGAATAAGTAGGATTTATAGTTCCCTGAAGAAAAAAACTTACACACTATTTAGGCACACTACGAGACATCTAATGTAGTAGACTCGAATCCTAGATCTAAGGTGGATTTAGTGTTATACTTAACACTAATACCCGTATCCTAGCTAATGCACCTGGGCTTATACCCTGCCTGAAAAGGGATGCCATCTAACCGCCTAGGCGCTTAAAATCTATATAGTACAGTCTTTATGAAAGATGGGTAGGTAGTTTAGTATTTTTGGAATTAGGGTTGCTGTCTAGAGAGTTTTCTAATTGGCCATGGACTTATGTAGGGTGAATGATCCTAGTGCTAATGCAATTAAATTTTAATTTATTGAGTTTCTAATGCAATATATGTTAGTTGAAGTCTCCAAATTAGATATGCATAAGATTTAAAAAAAAAGTTTATATAAAATAATTTTTTAGAAAAGACTGGGTCTCCCTAGGTCTGACACTTCATCCTCATATGATAGATTGTCCAGGCTCTACCCGCAAGCGAGGAGATGTCTTATTATAAGGAGAGAGAAGAATGCATTCAATATGCATGTGAGCCCGGACAGTTCCGGTAGTTCCCTAGCTCATTAGGTTTTTATGTTATTTAAACCCTAAAATATTAATTTTTTAGTTACGAGTAGAAAAATAATTTTATCACAAAGAGCTTAGCGAAAATCATGCCATACACATGCAAGAAAGAAACCTAAGAAAAACAAGCAAGTTCTACTACGCAAACATAATAAACACATCAATAAAAATATATCATAAAAAGTAAAGTTCAAAGTTCGTGGCAAGTGTCACATAAGTAAAACCCAGGGTCTGTACAAAAGTAATGGTACGTGGTCAGGCCCCACTGATAACAACTTGGATTATAATCCCACTAAATGATGCAAGTCTTAAAAGCTAGGCATTTCATCTTTAAGGTTATGTCTTTAAGTGGATCGTCCTTCTCCGGATCATCTCCCTTTGGATCGTCTCCTTTGGGCTCCATCTGGT